GGGGTAGTGGGATCGATGTGATGATGATGATGACTAATAATGATGATGATGATGATGATGATGATAGCACGTTCCTGAAGACGTTCAAGAAGGCGAAACGTTTAACGTATAGTACAGTAGTAAAACTCAGAAATGTTCAAGTGCCCATCAACTTTCCCGTTGCTGTTTTTTCTATCGTACTTATAACAATGATGATTGATGATGATGGGATGGTCACGGTGATGATTAAGATGATGAAGATGACGACGACGACAAAAAAGAAGAATAAGATGTGGATGACAATGATGAAGATGACGATGCGGTTCAGGGCGGTAACTATTATATATTAACTCGTACATGTCGTAAAATCCGATAGCAGAATGGCATCCTTTCTGGTGATCAATCTCCAGGTAGTTCCGCTGATTGGTTCGGGGTACGAACTGTACACACTTGCCCTTGGAGGTGGACACATCGTTTTCCAGCTCTGTCATGGCAGTCCGGATGAGAGCTTTTATATCTGGGTGGTTGACAGAGAGAGTAGAACATTCAACATTGGTGATAGTTATAGTAATGCTATTTTTTTTCTTAAGTAGTTTTTCTACCACCACCACCACCACCACCACCACCACCACACTACTACTACTAACTCAGTTGTTTTTCTGTTTGTGTTATTTTTCTCCAGCAGTAAATGACCGTTCTCTTTACTCAAACAAACAAAAAAATGTCACTCTCTTTCTCTCTCTCTCTCTCTCTCTCTCTCTCTCTCTCTCTCTCTCTTTCTCTCTCTCTTTCTTTTTCTCTCTCCCTCTCACTATCTCCAAGTTATCCCTAGGATGTTTTATCCCGTTAAGTGCGTGTTTGGCTTGACAGGCGTGGATGTTTGATTGGGGCTATGGTGTAGTTAGCTCACTTTCAATCATCTACCGTCTTTATCTCTCCCCTTTATTCCGTGTATGTTGCTCTCGGGTGATTTTTCCAGTCTCCAACACTTTTATTAGGACCTTTTTGTGTTGCAAGTCCTGCCAAATGCGTAATAAACTAAAACCTTAAACCAAAGTGGGCGGTTGGCGGGTGCTATGGTGTGGTTTGTTCCTTCTTTCCTATAAATCATCCATCGTCCTTATCCCCCCCCCCCCCTTTTCTATTTTGTGTTTGTTACTCTCTTGTAACACCTTTAATCTTCGGAACTTATATGACCTTATTGTGTTGCGAGTGCCGTAAAACTCTTACGAAAACTAAACTAAACCAAAATCCCCCTTACATGCAGGTTTAAAGTAGGTTGTAGCCTAAATGGCCAAATTTTTTATCGGGTTGCAAAAACATTTGCAGTTGTTGCAAATGCTGTCTTCATATCAGTATTCAGTGTCTTTGGTATGGACATTGGTTCCGACGAAATTGGTTCGACTTACTCTTGGCAGAACCCCAGACCGTCATTGCATACATAGGTTAAACGTGCCTTTCAACATTTTGCAGTTGTTTCAGACAGATAGAAACAAAGAAGGACGTGCCAGAAAAATAAAGAAGAGAGAAAGAAAGACAGTAGTAGGCCCCTCCCACCCCCACCCCCACCCACCTGTCCCCTTTCTCCCCAAGAAAAAAACTCTGTCGCTGTTCGTACCTGAAATCATGGAGTCCACGATCGGTGACGTTGGTTTCGTTGATGTTGACGTATCGATCTCTGTCGTATCGGTTCTGCTCGTGATAGAAGCCCAAGACGTGGATCATCTCGTGCATGATGATGCCCTTCATCTCACAGCCGGGGCCCAGGGAGGAGGGGTGCGCGCCTCTGGTGGGACAACGGGGCGGTTATTTTTATTTTATTTTGTTTTTTTTTAAATTGGGGGGGGGGGGTAATTTTGTGCATTTATTATTTTTTTAATTTAAATTAGTTGATTGATTGATTAATTAATTTTTTTTAAATTTTGTTGTTGTTGAGATGACGATGATGATATTGGCGGCGGTGATGATGACTATGATGTGGGTGTCTCTGGTGGGATA